ACTTAATATGGTGAAAATGCCAACACCACCCAAAGCAATCTATAGATGTAATGTAATCCCAATCTAGATTCCGACATATGTCTTTAAAGAGATGGAAAAACTGTGTGATGCCACGGGTTAATGCGCTGGACTGTAAGGTCAGTTTGAACCGCAGGACCAAGGGTTCAAGCTCACCAGCCACTCCTTGGAAATCCTCTGCAGGTCACTATGAGTCAGAAATGAATCAATGATGGTTAAAAACAACAACAGCTTTACATGGAACAGAAAGAGATCTTAGAAACACAAAGCATTACTTAAGAAGAACAAAGTTGGAGTCTTCGCATTTCCTGATCTCAAAATCTACTACACAGTCACAGTGGTCTAAACAGCTTGGTACTTGTACAATCAAAGACACATAGATCAGTGGAACCAAACTGAGAAACCAGAAGTAGATCCATCTTGTAACAGAGAGCAGATTTTTGACAAAAGGCCATGACACATTAAATGGAGAAGACATTGCTAATGGGACTGTAAAATTATGCTCTCTCTGTGGAAAACATACAGCACTCCCTCCAAAAGTTGGAATTAGCAATGTCATGTGACCCAGTAATCCTTCTTGATGTGAACTTTGAGGGTAAATATATAAGGCTGTTTGTAGTGAAAGATGATAGGCCTCATACTTAAGCAGGATCTAATGTATGGGCTAAAGAGTTTGGACTTGCTATTATAGGCAATGGAGACTTACTGCATAGAGTCAGCTTCTCAGTTAAGTAGGAGGATGAAAGAGAAAATAGGTGCCAGAGGGTGTTTTTGGAAAAATCAAATAGTAAGATTTGAAAGGATTAGAAAAAGTTCTGTAAATGATGTGATGAGACTGGGGAATGGGGATGAAAACCTGGGAGCTATTGTAGTGTAGAATTGCAGAGATAGACTTTTTCTTCCGGTTTCACTCATTCAAGGAATAGATCTCATTGGAAAAGTTCAGCCTTAACATTTTTTGAGTAAAACCTTAATTTCCAAGAGAGATACTAATTGATTCATCTAAGGAAAACAAGTAAAAAAGCAAAGTCAGCAGAAGTTTTATGCAAATACTCAACCTGACCTGAAGCTATTCTTTATCATTTCAGGTATTTGAAGATAGTCGCCTTGAGTCAAAGACAACCATCAAAACCTTACTATGTACTATGGATTTAATTTTCACAAACATTTTTATCCTGGAGATGTGTCTGAAATGGGTGGCCTTTGGATTTAAGAAGTATTTTACCAGTGTCTGGTGCTGGCTCGATTTCATCATTGTGATTGTAAGTTTACCATGTGTGTCCTATTGGGATGGGGTGGGGAATGGAGCGAAGAGAGATAGGGTCATACTGGAATTACTTTCTCTGTGTCTCATTTGCATCCTATTTCACATTGTTTTCTTGCTATTGTTGCATCTTCACAATACTTGTAAGTACTTGTCATTTATGTACCAGCAGTCCCTGATTTGCACCCCTCATACGCTGTGCTTTTAATGTCCACGATCCAAACCTTTCCATGGGTGACATTCATCTACTTTATAAGTGCTGCTTATGTCTGGTACATATATAGCATATCTTTGAGTAGTCTCCATTTCCCAGCTCTTTATCACCTTTCCATTTCTTTTCAAGACATCGCAAAGGAGGTCAGCAGTCAACAGATTGGACTGGTCCCCATCAAGATGGTCAATCACCATAAGAGACTTGTTCACATACCTTCTCTCATTTAATCTGTTCCCAGTTAAGCAGTATTATACAACATCTATACATTACAGGCATTGTGGGTTAATGCACTGGCCTGCAAATTCGTTTGAACCACAAGGTCAGCACTTCAAGCTCACCGGCCGCTCCTTGGAAACCCTATACTGGGTCGCTGAGGGTTGGAATCGACTTGATGGCACTTAACAACAACAACATATATTACAGGAGTCCTGTGTTAATGTGCTGGACTGCAAAGCAGGTTTGAACCATAAGGTCGGCAGTTCAACCTTACTAGTCACTGTCGGAAACCCTATATATGGTTTCTATGAGTTGGAACTGACTAGATGGCACTTAACAACAACAAGATATATTACAGACAACGAAGCTCAAAAGGTCAACAACTTGCTTCAGTTTATAGAGTTTATAAATGGTAAAGTTAGGATTCATACTTCAGTGGTTATGATGCTAAGGCTAACAACAGCAATACTGTTGTTAGTTGTTCCGTTGTCACCAAGTATCTGTGTTGCAGCGTCGAACTGCTCTATTGAGTTTTCAAGGCTGTGACATTTGAGAAGAAGATCACCAAGTCTGTCTTTCTGAGGTGGTGTTGTTGTTGTTAAGTGCTGTTGAGTTGGTTCCAACTCATAGCGACCCTGTGTAAGGTTTCCAAGGAGCAACTGGTGAACTTGAACTGCCACCTTATGGTTCAAACTGACCTTGTGGTCCAGTGCTTTATCCCACAGTACCATACCAGGACTCTGAGGTGGTTCTGGGTGGGTTCAAATTGCCAACCTTTTGGCTAGTAGAGGGCTTAACATTTGTGCCACCCAGGGACTCCTAATAACAGACCACATTTATCAATGCTTTACCTGTGCCAGATATGTTGCCATGTGCTTCACATGCACTGCCTCTTTTAGTCATCACAGCTACCTTATGTGGCAGAGACTTCCCATTTCCAGTGGAAGAAATGAAGTCATACAGAAGCTAAGAAACAGGATCAAGATTAACCAGCTAGCAGTGGTGGAGGTGACACTTAAACATAGAAAATCTCACTCTTGAGCCCTAGATTTCAACACCTCTGCCCTTTCTACCATGAGATAATAAGCTAGATTTTGCTCTGGTAGCACAGTGGTTACGAATCAGGCTACTAACCTCAAGGTCAGCAGTTCGAAACTACCAGCACTTCCGTGGGAGAAAGATGAGGTGTTCTGCTCCCATAAAGATTTACAGCCTCAGAAACCCTGTGCAGGGTCACTCTGAGTCAGAACCGACTCCATGGTACTTAACAACAACAACAACAATTAAAGATAGTTGTTCGAACAGAACATGGGAACGGCGAATGGTTTAAAATTAAAGAAGGTGTAAGACAGAGTGTTAGTCTTTCACCATACTTATTCAATCTGTATGCTGAGCAAATAATCCAAGAAGCTGGGTTATATGAGGATAAACGTGGCATCAGGATTGGAGGAAGACTCATTAACCTGCAATATGCAGATAATACAACCTTGCTTGCTGAAAGTGAAGAGGACTTAAAACATTTACTGATGAAGATCAAAGAGCACAGCCTTTGCTATGGATTATATCGCAATGTAAAGAAAATGAAAATCCTCACCACTGGACCAATAAACAACATTCGTATCAATGGAGAAAAGATTGAAGTTGTCAAGGACTTTGTTCTTCTTGGATCAACTATTAACACTCATGGAAGCAGCAGTCAAGAAATCAAACGACATATTGCATTAGGCAAATCTGCTGCACAAGACCTTTTTAAAGTGTTGAAGAACAAAGATGTCAGCTTGAGGACTAAGGTGTGCCTGACCCAAGCCATGGTATTTTCAATAACCTCATATGCATGTGAAAGCTGGATAGTGAATAAGGAAGACCATAGAAGAATTGATGCATTTGAGTTATGGTGTTGGAGAAGAATACTGAAAGTGCCATGGGCTGCCAAAAGAACAAACAGATCTATTTTGGAAGAAGTGCAGCCAGAGTGTTCCTTGGAGGCTAAGATGGCCAAACTTTGTCTCCCATACTTCAGACATATTGTCAGGAGGGACCAGTCACTGGAGAAGGATATCATGTTTGGTAAGGTGGAGGGTCAGAGAAAAAGAGGAAGACCCCCAGTGAGATGGATTGGCCTAGTGGCAGCATCGACGGACTGAAGCGTGGCAACAATAGTGAGGTTGGCCCGGGATCGGGTAGTGTTTCGTTCTGCTTTACATAAGGTCCGTTATGAGTTGGTAGTGACTCGTTGCCACCTAACAACAACAAATTAAAGATTGCAGTAGTCCTGGTGTTGCGCTGTGGGCTCATGTGTTGGACTGTAAAGTCACTTTTTACCACAAGGTCGGCGGTTTGAGCTCGCCAGTTGCTTCTCGGAAACCCTTACAGGATTGCTATGGGTCCGAACCGACTCGACTGCACTTGACAGCAACAACAACAATGCTAAAGATAGTAGATAAAACAAATTGTTGTTGTTATTAAGTGCCGCCAAGTCGGTCCCAACTCACAGCGTGCAACCCTGTATAGGGTTTTTGAGGAGTGGCTGAGGAGTTTGAACCAGTGCCTGTGGTTCAAACTGACCTTGTTGTCAACTGCTTATCCTACAGTGCCAAACCAGGACTCCAATATAACAAATACATGAGCACAAATTATGTTTATAGTAAAGCCCACTGAAGAATCATAATGCTATTGGTGGCCACAAAAAGATCTTATGGTCAGGCATTTTAGAAAGGTTTCAATGCCACAGGACTTCAACAGGAATCAAAGAAGGACTACAAAATATCCAGGTGTTTCAGTTCTATCAGCTTCCACAGTACAAATCACTGAGCCCTGATGATTTCATTATTTAGAGTGAACAATCTGTAAGTTAGGAGGAAAGATGATTGTTGCCTTCATTTTAGGGCTTGTGGTTTACTAGAAAAAACGCCTAATCTGTCTCATCTCTTCCTGAATAACCACTTCCTTCCCCTCTTTGACTTTAGTTTTTGTAAGGATAAAAATGAGGCTATGATTGTAAATTGCCCAAATACAAAATGAAAAGCATAAATCTAGTAATAAGAATTAAAAATATCAAAACAGCCCCAAACTGGGCTGTCAAAAAAGGGGCACCAGGCACAGATGATTTTACAGACAAGTTTTACCAAATTTCCAAAGAACAATTAATCCTAATAATACCCAAATTGTTAAAAAGGATTTTAAAAAAATGAATAAGAAAGGAAAATGATTGTTTAACTTAGAGATGAAAATCTTAAATGAAGTTAGGGAATTGAATTCAATAGTTTATATAAAAATTCATAATGATTAAGTTGGTTTATCCTAGGATTTCAAAGACTTTTCACCCTGAAGAGTACAGTAGAGTGGGAAAGAATGTGGATATTTTAATGTCTGAATGTCTCATCTGTACTTCCCAATTTAGTAAAGCAGAAAGTAGGACTGAGGTTCCAGGTGAAAAGGTATAAATGCCCTTTTTGGAACACTTCTTCCTCACCAAGAATAGCAGTGTTTGGGAAAAGCAGAATTGCTGAGCTTTACCAATCTCTCTCTAGGATCAAGGTAGAAAGAGTATCAATACTAAATCAATACTAAAATTCATGATCCATTCTCAAATTTTGTCAAATGATCGCCATTAGGTTCTTTATAGCTAATTTCCCCTCCCAATCAGGATTCAATTCAAGATTCCATACTGTATTTAATTATCACACCTCTATAATTCCTTTAATACAGAATAGTTTTTCAGCCTTTCTTGTCTTTCATTAAGCAAGTAATGTAAAAGCATTGCTCTCATGATGCATTTATGGATTGAAGCTTTGTCAGAAAAGGAATCAAATGTCTTCCCATTTCCAGCAAGGTCTGAGGGGCTAATGGGCCTGGAAAGTCCATGTGGACATAGTAGGCTCTGCCTCCTCAGAATAAGAACTTGGATTCTTCAACAATTTCCCTGGGCATACCATCCGGTGCATTACTTGTGGCTTTTCCTCCTGGCAGATCTCTATACTCAGTCACATCAATTTACCGACCATAAAATCCTTCCGGACTCTAAGAGCCTTGAGGCCCCTTCGAGCACTGTCCCAGTTTGAAGGAATGAAGGTATGTTCTTCAAATGGAAGGGAGCAAGGTCACTAGCAAGGGAAAAATATTAGCTCCTCTTGGGTCTGAGTTTCCTAAAATTGCCAAGATTTTCCAGGGCTTCTTTCAATCTAGCCTAGTGCGTAGAATTTGAGAGATGGGGGAAATCTAAGTCTTTAGTTCTACCCTGGAAGAGTTCTGTGACAGCCAAGATGGACTCTCACTTCCCCTCAGAATCTTTAGGCAGGAGTCCCCCCAAGTCATTCATTCATTTTCGTTGTTATTAAGTGCCATCAATTCGATTCTGAATCTCAGGGACCCTGTACAGGGTTTCTGAGGAGTGGCTGATGAGCTTGAACCACTGCCCTTGCATTTCAAACTGCTTGCAGTCTAGCACATTAACCCACAGCACCACACCAGGACGTCTTTCAGATTATTCTCAGTGGCAGTAGAATGGAAGCACTATGAAGAATACATGACTCACTTAGCTGAGAGAAGTGGGAGATGAGCCCAGTGAGGAGCATAAAGATGTAGCTTGAAGAAATCCAGCCTCACACGTGGACCCAGCCTGGGGAGGACAAAATACTATTGATTCCTCTATGCCTTTTGCAAAGTTTTTCTTCTATTTTGTTTCCTTAAGGTGGTGGTCAATGCTCTCATAGGTGCCATACCTGCCATTTTGAATGTTTTGCTTGTCTGCCTCATTTTCTGGCTCATATTTTGTATTCTGGGAGTAAACATGTTTTCTGGAAAATTTAGAAGATGCATTAATGGAACAGATATGAACTCAGTTATAGATCCTAATATCGTTGCATACCGAAACCAATGTGTGAATGGAAATTACTTCTGGGTCAACCTAAGAGTCAACTTTGACAATGTGGGAATGGCTTACCTCGCTCTGCTGCAAGTGGTAAGTGTCGTTGGCTTGTTTTTTATTCTGAGAAGACTTTTAAAAGCTATGAGTAATTTCTCAGCTAATAAAATTACAGCAGCTCCATTGAGATAGTCCTCATATGGAAGCCAATGCCTTGTAGAATTGTTCCCTACTGATCATCTCCACCTCAATCTCCAAGAGATGTCCTTTTAAGGTCTATACAACCTCCCATGTTCTACCTGGCACCTTGCTCTCTAGAACTTAACCAGAGAGGAGAGGAGCTGGAGATGCCAGGTCATCCATTTAGAAGGGCTCTCTGTTGGAAGTCAGTCCCAGGTCAAATCACAGTACCCAGGTCTTGGACAGACAGTGCAAACAGATGTGGTATCAGAGAAGAAGAGATAAGGCAGAATCAAGGAAACAAAGCAATAGGTCCACAGCATCTCTAGCAATTTTCTAAGGTAGAAATTTATTTTGTTTTGAAACTTGTTGTTTTATCTTGTACAAATGAAAAAAAAAAAAAAAAAATCCAAGATACCCCATCCTTGAGCTCCCTTCTGATATCCTTTCATTTGAGCATTCTGTCCAAGAAGAGTGGGATATCACCTTAAATACATCTTCCCAATGGACCTTGCTTGGTTTATATGGCTTGTGTCTGTTGATAGTAAGTATACAATTATATGTGTGCTTTCTTTGCTTTTGTTGCAGGCAACATTTAAGGGCTGGATAGATATTATGTATGCAGCTGTCGATTTCAGAGGGGTGAGTCTGTTACACTGTCTTATAGAGTGGTGGGTTGAAAGCAGATATCATGCCATGGACAATCTGGAATATTTTATATCATAATTCCAGTGGCCAGAATTTCTCTTTCTTATTTTCCTTGGAAAAAAACACCATGAATAACATCGCGCAATTGACAAGATTCTTATGTATCCTCTAGAGAGTAACTGACACATTTAGCTTACTTCAGGATTCAGTTCTCTTTCTCCATAATGTCCAAGGGGAAACTACTCATATTGGAGATGTAGCCTGAAGCAACAGAATCACAAGATGCCCTGATTTTTCTCTATCTCACCTCTTCTATAAATGAGTAGATAGGCAGAAGCCAGATTTCAAAGGGCACTTGCCTTTGGCTATGGGAAATCCTCAAGACTAGGTGATAAATCTGAGCCAGAAAGACCCTCACATGGCCCAAGCTCTGGGAGACTAAAGGAGTTTCCCGTGATTGCCAACTGTTTAATTCTCACTAAGTAGAAAGTGATGATGGGTTTACAAAGTTGGAAGAATACTCAATAATCTCATCCAATTCTATTTATTACTTGATAAAACCGAGGGATAAAGAAATGGAGTTGCCCAAAGTCATTGAGTGAGCAAGTGGTTGAGTTCAGGATGAGATCAGGATTGCTGTTTTTCCCCCGTCATAACACGTGCATATGTATGTGTGCATTATTTGTTTGAGAATCAATAGAGTTGATTTCTGGCACAAAGAAGTGTTCGATACATGTGGGCAGGTAGTTGGAATAGAGGTATATGAATAGCGATACAGAAGTAGTAGAGATAATCTATAACAAAGGGAATAGTTTTAAATTATTAATGTGCTTATTTGTCTTTTTGAGCACACAATTTTTAATCTAGCTTGATTTAGCCACCAAATTGCCCTCAGGTGGAGATCTTATCTAAATATGTGGAGGAGAGGCTTACACATGATCCCAGAAAGTGAAGGGGGAGGTGTGGGACGGTCTCTGACCTGATGCAGATCCTGGGATGTGTTTACTGGTATATTCTGTCTTCTTGTATGATGACCCTTGTCTGTGTAGTCACAGAGTATACCATTGATCGCAGATACTAAAACTTACTAGTGAAACCGTAAGCTTTCTTCCCTTTAACGCCTTCTGCTCTCAAATACAGACCTTTCTGTTTTTGCTGTTGCCATATCCACCTCATGGTGCCTGGTGAAGCAGTCTACTCACATGCCTTACTAGAGAATCACCAAAACTATCAACTCCATGTCCAAGCTACATGTGGAACTGAGAAAAGTTTAAGAGATTGTGCTACTCCAGCCTCCTAACTAAGCCTGCCTACTCAATAGATCTCAGGCCTTCCCAGCACAGCCATTGCCTCCCAGAAAAAATAGCAATGAACACGAACAGCTTTTAAACCCTGCATATTCTGTTCCTCTCACCTCACTGTAGGTCTAAAGAACACATCTCATGTCTCAGATCTTGTCTGTCTCTGTTTCTTCTTCTCACAATTCCCTACAAACTGAGTAAGCTTTTGTCCTCTCCTATTCCTATCTGAACCTCCTTTGAACTCTCTTCAAGCTGTTGATATACCAAAGAGGGACATAAAGAAATTTATCATTGTTGTTAAGTGCCATCAAGTCAGTTTTGATTCATAGTGTCACAAAAGGCCGAAATACTGCCCAGTACTGTGCCATCCTCACAATTGCTCTTAGTTTCGAATGCATCGTTGATGCCACTATGCAAATCTACTTTGGGGGAATCTTCCTCTTTTTCACTGACCCTCTACTTTACTAAGCATGATATCCCTCTCCAGGGACTGGTTCCTCCTGATAATATGTCCAAAATAAGATAAATTAAGTCTTGCTATCCTCCCTTGTGGAGTCCTGGTGTGGCACTGTGGGTTAATGAGCTAAATTGAAAAGTTGATTTGAACCATAAAGTCGGCAGTTCAAGCTTACCAGTCACTCCTTGGAAACCCTATGCAGGGTCAATATGGGTCGGAACCAACTCGATGGCACTTAACAACAACAACATCCTCCCTTGTAAAAAGAATTCTGCTTGTACTTCTTGCAAGAGCAATTTGTTTGTTCTCTGGCAGTCTATAGTATTTTAAATATTCACATGTATCAATTCTGCTATGCTTTCCTTTATTCATTGCCCAACATGCATATGAGACCATTGAAAATACCATGACTTGGGGCAGGCCCACCTTAGGCTTTAAACTGATCTCTTTACTCTTGCACATTTTCAAAAGGATCTTTTGCCACAGATTTGCCTAATGCAATAGTCATCTGATTTCTTGACTGTCGCTTCCATGAACACCGAATGTAGATCCAAGCAAATTAAAGTCTTTGACGGCTTCAATCTTTTCTTCACTTATCATGATGTAATTTATTGACCCAGTTGTGAGCATTTTTGCGTTCTTTACATTTGAGATGCAATCCATACTGAAGGCTACAGTCTTTGATCTTCATCATTAAGTGTTTTAAGTCTTCCTTGCTTTCAGCCATCAAGGTTGTGTGATCTGCATAGCACAGGTTGTTAATGACTCTTTCTGCAATCCTGATGTCATGTTCTTTTTAATATAATCCAGCTTCACAGATTATTTGCTCAACATACAGAATGAGTAAGTATGATGAAAGTAATTATGGTGAGTAAGTATGATGCAGAGCTTTCCTGATTTTAAACCATTCAGTATCCCCATGTTCTGTTGGTCTGGGTGCAGGTTTTTCATGAGCACAATTAAGTGTTCTGCAGTAGCCACTCTTTACAATGTTAATAATTTGTGCTGATCCACACAGGCAAATGACTTTGCATAGTCAATAAACCACAAGTAAACATCTTGTTAGCATTCTCGTCTTTCAGCCAAGATCCATCTGTCACCAGCAATGATATCCCTCATTCCACATCTTCTTGTGTATCTGGCTTCACTTTCTGGCAGCTACCTGTTGATGTACAGCTGCAATTGTTTTCTGAATTATATTCAGCAAAATTTTACTTGCATGAGATTTAAATGGTATTGCTAGATGATTTTGTCACTCTGTAGGGTCCCCTTTCTTTGGAATGGACACAAATAAGGATCTTTTCCAATTGGCTGGCCAGGTAGCTGTCTTCCAAATTTCTTGGCAGACATGTGATATCTTCAGTGCTGACCCAGTTTTTAAAAACATTTCAGTTTGTTTTCCATCAATTTCTGGAGCTGTGTTTTCTTTTTCTTTCTTTCTTTTTTTTTAACAGTCAAGCTTTTAATCACTTATACAAGCATGAGTTCAAACCTGGAGAATAGGCCAATGCCCCCTTCCTTGTTCCATGTTTCCCCAGGAACAGTGCCCAGGTGAGGGTCAAGTGGACCGATGATACATGGAGACAGCCCTGCTGTTGAGGGGATTCCAAACTAAAGGCTTGGAGTTGTGTTTTCACCAATACCTCAGTGCTGCTCGGACATCCGCCTTCAATACCATCAGTTCTGGATCCTTTGGTACCTCTCGAAATGATTGAACATCAACCAGTTCTTTTGGTACAGTGATTCTCTGTATTCCTCTCATCTTCTTTTGATGTTTCCAGCATTATTCAATATTTTGACCATAGAATTCAACAATATGGCAAGTTGAGGCATAAATTTTTTATTCAGTTCTTTCAACTTGAGAGCTGCTGAGCATGTTTTTCCCTATTGATTTTCTAACTCCAAGTTTTTGCATACTTTGTTATAATATTTGACTTTGTCTTCTCAAGCTGCTCTTTGAACTTTTTCTTTTTGACTCTTTTTTTACTTCATCATTTCTTCCAGTAGCTTTTACTTCTCTGTGCTCCAGAGCAAGTTTCAGAGTCCCTTCTGACATCCACTTTGGTCTTTTCTCTTTTCCTGCCTTTTTAATGACTTCTTGCTATTTTCATGTGTTATTCTTGATGTCATCCCCTAACTCTTCTGGTCTTCATTCATTAGTGTCTAGTGCATCAAATATGTCCTTGAGATGGTCTGTAAGTTTATGTAGGATATACTCAAGGTCATATTTTGGTTCTTGTGTACTTTTTAAAATTTTCTTCAGCTTCAGTCTGAGCTTGCATATGAGCAATTGATGATCTGTTCCACAGTTGACCTCTGGCCTGGTTTTGACTGATGATCTGGAACTTTTCTACAATCTCTTCCACAGATGTCAATATAGTTTTGGTGTATTCTGCCTGGTGGGATCTATGTGTGTAGTCACCATTTATGTTGTTAAAAAGAGGTATTTGCAATAAATTAGTCATTTGTTATTGTTGTCAAGTGCCGTTGAGTTGATTCTGACCCATAGTGACCATGTATAGGGTTTCCAAGGAGCAGCTAGTGAGCTTGAACCACCGACCTTGCAGTTCAAATGACTTTGCAGTCTAGCTCATTAACCCACAGTGCCACCAGGACTCCCAAAGAAGTCACTGGTCTGGCAAAATTCTATCATGTGATCTCCAGCATCATTTCTATCACCAAGGTCATGTTTTCCAACTATGGATCCTTCCTTTTTATTTCCAACTTTTGCATTCCAATCACTAGTAATTACCAATACATCTTGTTTGCATGTTTGATCAATTTCAAACTGAAGAAGTTGGTAGAATTCTTCAATTTTATCATCACTTGCTTTAGTAGTTGGGGCATAAATTTGTATAATAGTGGTATTAATTGGTCTTTCTTCTAGGTATTATCCTAGTTCAGGCAGCATGGTACTTCAAGATAGATCTTGAAATGTTCTTTTTGACAATAAGTGCAATACTATTCCTCTTCAAATTGTTGTTCCTAGCATAGCAAACTGTATGGTTGTCCGATTCAGAATGGTCCATTTCAGCTCACTGTTGCCTACAATAGTTGTCTTTATACATTTCATTTCATTTTTGAAAACTTCCAATTTTCCTGGATTCATACTTCTTATATTCCATGTTTTGATTGTTAATGGATGTTTCTTCTCATTTTGAGTTATGCCACATCAGCAAATGATGATCCCTCCAAACTTAACTCCATCCACATCATTAAGTTTAATGCTACTTTGAGAAAGCAGCTCTTCCCTCGTCATAGTTTGCATGCCTTCCAAATTGAGGGGCTCAACTTCTGTCTGACAGTGTTCTACTGCTACTCGTAAGGTTTTCAGTGGCTAACCCTTCAGAAGTGATGTGCATCGCCTTCTCTTTTACTCTGGAAGTTCCTCTGGAACTTTTCCACCATGGGTGACCCTCTCAGTATTTCAAATAATGGTGGCATAGCTTCCAGCATCATAGCAACTTACAAGCTGGTGGTTCAAGCTCACCAGCTGCTCCTCAGAAACCCTGTACAGGGTTGCTATGGGTTGGAATTGACTCGATGGTACTTTACAACAACAATATCTCAAGGCAATAACCTAGGTTAGAAACCTATTAGCCCTCTGCACAAGTTCATTTTGAATGCCATATGTTGAATACGTTAAGTATTTCTTTTTTTTTTTTTTTTTTAATCAAACAAATGGATACTTCAAGTCAACTGGAAACTAAGATTAGTTACTCTATAAAGCAAAAGAGAAATGCAGTATTTTCAAATTTTTACCTCAATTACGCTAGTATATATGCTAAGTGTTGAGTAACAAATATCATATATACATTCAACGGTTAACAGATCCATCAACACTCATAACTATATTTGTGAATGAGATCGGGGAAGAAGAGAATATTCTCCCATCACTTCCCCAAAGTTTGTGAAGCTAATGACAATATGAAAGCTTGGGCAAAAGAGATCTCAGATGCCTTTTGCAACACTTTGAGCTGGAAGAGCTTGGTTGTAATCAATGTGTATTTGTTCTGTAGCTTGATCATTCAGTGTATACTGAGGATCTCCAGGTCATAGGGTGTACAAACCCTTTGTTGTCCTGTCAATTTCAGCTCATAGTGACCCATGTGTTGCAGAGTAGAACTGAGCTCCATAAGGTTTCCTTGGTACAATGCTGTAGCATAAGGTTGATAGGTCAAATCAACCAGTACTCTGCAGGAGAAAGACGAGGCTTTCTGCTCCCACAAAGATTTACAGCTTCAAAAACTCTATATAGGGTCATTATGAGTCAGAATCAACTCAGTGGAATTTACTTTGGTTTTAATTTTTGAAATCTTTATTGGGGCAGATTGACAGATCATTCTTTCATGGTGCTGCTGGCTGCATTTTACACCACACAGGGACCTGTGAACGTATGCTTCTTGTTATGTGCTGTCGTGTTGATTCCAACTCCTAGTGGCCCTGTATAATGTTTCTAAGGAGCAGCTGGTGGGTTTGAACCACCGACCTTCAGGTTAGCAGTCCAGTTCTTATCCTACAGCACCACACCAGGACTCTGTGAAGGTATGTTAGGCACTAAGAATTTAACAATGAAGAAATCGTAACTACAGATTAGATAGAACAGTGAGATTATGCAGTTTGTGATAGTTCAGTCACCCCTGCCTGAAATGGGCTTGCCCTTTTCCTGGGTGTCCTTGGCTCCATTCGGTCTCCTTCAGTTACTTTCCCACATAGAGGTCTTACAGAGCTTTACAAGGGACACATATGATTGGGCTGCACTTTTTCCCCCATTGCTTAAAAGAAAAAGCCCATCTCTCTCACCTCACAACTAGAGGAACACAAAAAGACACCACCTTCTAGGGTCCATGGCTGTCTGGGAGAAGCTGAGTAGGTATTGTTTCTTGGAAGACACTTTGGTCTTCTAGATAATGCAGTTCAAAACCAAACAAACCACTAGTTTAATGTCAATTGAAACTTATAAGGACTCTATAGGAGAAGTCTCAGCAGTTCGAAACTACCAGCTGCTCCATGAGAGAAAGATAAGGCTTTCTGCTCCAGTAACGATTTACAGCCTCAGAAACCCTGTTCAGGGTCACTATGAGTCAGAACTGACTCCACGGCACATAACAACAACATAGGAGAAGTGGGAGTCCTGTTGTGATGCTGTAGGATAAACGCTGGACTGTTAACCACAAGCTTGGCAGTTCAACCCACCAGTGGCTCTTGGAAACCCTATACAGGGTCACTATGAGTCACTGTCTATGTCTTACCCTTGTCATCAATGCAGAGTGCTGGCTGATCTGACCTGCCAATCTTGGGATTAGCAGTTAACAACAATAAGAGAAGCTACCCAAGAGGAGAACTGCCCCATAGGGTTTTCAAGGCTATAATCTTTACAGAAGCAGACTGCTACTTTCTCCTGTGGAATGACTGGTGGATTCAAACCACAAACCTTCTGATTAGCAGTTGAACACTTTAACCACGTTACCACCAGGGTTCCTTATGATGGCTTATATATGTTTTTCCAAGGAGCTCAGGTAGTGTAGTAGTTACAAGTTGGGCTGCTAACCTCAAGGTTAGTAGTTTGACACTACCAACTGTTCCAAGGGAGAAATATGAGGCTTTCTGCTCCCATAAAGATTTTCAGCCTCAGAAACCCTATACAGGGATGCTATGAGTCGAACTGATTCCAAGGCACACCACCACTACCATATACTTTTCCAGTAATTGTTCTTGTCTCTCATTAAAAAAAAAAAAAAATTCTAACAGGAAGAAGAACAGCCAATGTTTGAGGTGAATCCATACATGTACCTATACTTCGTCGCTTTTATCATTTTTGGCTCATTCTTCAGTCTGAATCTTTTTATTGGTGTTATCATTGACAACTTCAACCAACAACAGAAAAAGATAAGTATATACAGATTGTCCTGACTTGGTAATTTCATCTCTGCTCTCCAAAGCACTTGAATGGAACATAATTGTGGCCTAGATTGTTGTGGGCAGTAACCTTTAATATCTGCAGCGAACAAAGAGGGATCCTACTGCTTTAGCCGGAAGAAGATTCTTAGCGATGAGTCTGAAAGGAACTTGAAAACGCTTGGGTTTTATTTCATGTCTTTTTGCTCTCTGTCTATGTCTTACCCTTGTAATCAATGGACATTGTTGCTGGTAATACTAAGGCTGATAGTAATTGATAGAACAACCACCAGGAGAATTAATATTTACCACACTGCAGTCACATTTGAAAGGTGCTCTTCAGCTGCACTTTCCATCGGTTACTTTGTGGGAGGTCATTTAAGTGCATGTTGTTGTTGCTATTAGTTACTGTAAACTCATTTTGACTCATCGTGACCCCATGTGTACAGAGTCATTGTTGTTGTTATTTAGTGCCGCCGATTGGTTCCACTCATAGGGACCCTGAATAGGGTTTCCGAAGAGTGGTTGGTGAGTTTGAACTGCCAACCTTGCAGTTAGTAGTCCAGAGCTTATCCTGTAGTGCCATACCAGGACTGGTGTGTACAAAGTAGAACTGATTATTGTTGTTGTTGTTAAGTGCTGTCGTGTCAGTTCAGACTCTTAGTGGCCCTGTATAGAATTTCCAAAGAGCAGCTGGAGAGTTTGAACTGCCAACCTTGTGGTTCGCGGTCCCAGTGCTTCTCCTACAGAACCACACCAAGAGTCCAAAACTGCTTAGTAGTCACATATTAATAACTTTTCAAGTGTACTTTGTTATCCAAGGTAAAAAGAAAGAAAGAAAGAAAAATACAATCTCCCAACACCTAAACTGTAGCAAATGTCTAAAACCTAGTTGGAAAGATGGATGGGAAAGAAGCGAGACTAGGGAGATTTTTTTCCTACATTATAATAGACAGATGTTAATTTTTCTGATTGTAAAATCTACAGGAGCTTTGTCATAAAATTGGAAAATAAAAAAAGATACATAGAAAATTTAAATGACTCATAGGCAACCACATGATAAACCTTTCCACAATGCCTCTTATTGTTTTGACATTTTCCTTTCCAGGTACTTTCTAACTAAATACTTTATGCAGTTAGGATTACACTATGTTTCCAGTTTTATAGCTTTCCTCCATTATTTTTGAGTCCATGCCTTGAAACCATTTCTGATTAAAAAATTTTCAGGGATGAGTTATACTGCATGTAATCAATAAACCACAATTTATTCTAATCATTCCTCTTCTTTTGGACATTTAGGTCATTTCTAAGTTTCTTGCTCTCCTCAAACAATTATGGCCATTCTTGAAAATCTCTCTGTGCATCTCTGATTATTTTCTTAAGACAAATTCCTGGAATTAAAATATTCAAGGCATTAAAAACGTGATGTGAAATTACATTCCAGGAAAGCTTTGTATTTTCCTTCTGCCGGACATGAGGATGCCTATTTGATCTGTTCTTATTATACTGAGTGTTACAATTTCTTATTATCTTTTCTAGTTTGATGGTTAAAATGCTATCTCATTTTATTTTCATTTATTTAGTCATTAGTGAGGTTAGACATTTTTTCACAGGTTGGTGGCTATTAGTTCATTTCCCTTGAGGAGTATCTTTTTATACCCTTTATGTATTTTTTAAAATATTTTTATTTTGACTTTTTTATTGTGGTAAATCTATATAGAATCCCTGGTGGCACAGTGGTCAACTGCTCGGCTATTCACCAAAAAGTTTGGCAGTTCAAATCTACCAGCTGCTCCACAGTAGAAAGCTGTAGTAACAGTCAGCTTCCAAAAAGATTTACAGTCTTGGAAATACCATGGGGTAGTTGTACTCTATCATATAAGGGTTAACTATGAGGGAACTTCAAAAAGTTTATGGAAAAATTCCATTATCTTTTTATTATCCCACATTTTTTTTTGAAGTCTCTGTCTATATATATCATTTGCATGACATATATATGTCATGTTTTATATATATATAACAAAAACATATATGTTCTTCTTGTTGTTAAGTGCTGTTGAGTTGGTTCTGACCCATAGTGACCTTGTATAGGGTTTCCAAGGAGCAACTGATGAGCTTGAACCACCGACTTTATAGTCAAGCACATTGACCCACAGCGCCACACCAGGACTATATATACATATAAAACAAAACATTTGCCACTTGCAACATTTTTTACATGTACAATTCAGTGATATTCATTCCATTCATTGTGTTGTACAACCATCACTATTATCTGTTTCTAGATTTTTCTATTGCCTGTAACAGAGGTTTAATGTACTTTTTAAAAAACTGGGTTGTCATTGTTTTCATATGTGTTTTTATATAGTAAGTCCAGTTTGTGGCTTGCTTCTGATGTTTTTGCTATGATATTTTTTACTTGTAAATATTTAGGATTTTTATGGCAACAAACTTCCAATCTCATCCTATGTGGTTTCTTCCCTTGCAGTTTTATACTGAAGCCATTTCTCAATTTTCAATATCAAAGTAGTAATTATTCATCTCTGGTTTTCCTAATTGTTATGTGACTCTCTTGCTCTCTCTTTTTTTTCCCTGCTGGGCTTTTGCAATCCATCATCTGCAATGCACTGCAATACCGACTACCCTTCTTAATGTCTCCTGGGAGAGTCAGTCACTGTCCTCCTATAACTACCCTGATGCTGCTACAGGAATGTGCTACTCAGATCCACCTCGGGAATGTGCAGCTGGATTGCAATCAATACCTACCATTTGGATGTCAGCCCTCACAATTTTAGATTTAGCCTTACATTTGAAAGGCCTGTTTCGATCATTTTTGTTTTGCTTTGTTTTACTTTTCATTATTGAAATTTCAAACATGCAGAAGAGTATAGTTGTTGTGTGCTGTCAAATTGGTTCCACTGCCTCATAGTTTCCTTCATAGGGCTGCTGAAAGTGGCGGGTGGGTTTGAATTACTCACCTTTTGCTTACCAGTCCAGTGCTTATCCTACAGCACCACATCTAGGTGCAGAGTATAGCAGCACAAACTTAAAATACCCATCACAACATTTATTGACTTAAGAATATCATGTTTCCTCTATGCCCTTAATCAACTCTACGTCAGATTTTTTTTTTCTAGAGCAAATTACAAACATCACAGTTCATCTGTAAGTATCAGTTATAAAATATCTCTTTTCAAAACATAACCATAATTCCATTATCACACCTACAAATACAAAGAAAAGTTAACACTAATTCTTTAATGGAGTCCTGGTATAGCACAGTGGGATAAAGCACTGGACTGCAAGGCTGAGTTGAACCACAAGGTCAGCAGTTCAAACTCACCAGCTGCTCCTTGGAAACCCTATACACAGTCGCTATGATTGAGAACCAACTCAATGGCACTTAACAATAAGAGCAATTCTTTAATATCACTAAATACCTAGTTAATGTTTACCAGAGTTAAATTTTTTGAAACATTTATTTATATTAGCATTTTGCTTGTTTGTTTGTTTTCAAGTCAGGATTTAAATAAGTTCCTCCCATTTCACAGCTTCCTTGTTTTCTAGAATGATGAAGTGCCCCAGGATCAGGCAATACCTTTCCTGTCCCAGATGAGGAATCAGTAATTTCTCTGTGTGCTGGTTTCCTTAGTGGGAAATGTGTTCTGACACCACAATCTTGGTCATCTTTTCTAGACTTTTCAGTGGGCAAAGTTACTTCAAATATATATGTGGAAATATGCATACGTATCATTCCAATTCAGGACTATAAGGATCGCTGTACATATTATCTATATCTTCTCATTTTCACACAGAAATCTGATTCTCAAGGGCACAAGCGATGATAGATTAAAATTTGTACAATTACTCACTTTCTTTACTTCACAAAGTACACAGCACAGTCTCAAAATAACAGTATTAGCACTATCTTGACATATATGATTTTTGAAAACACTTGTTACAGCTGCAAATCTTAAAACAATCTGGGTAACTTTTAGGATTGTTATTTTTGGTCCATAAATTTAAACCCCAAATCCTCATTAAGGAAGGCCTGGAGTCTCAATTTATCAGTGAAGACTTGGCTTTTACCCATAGACTAGGTTGAGATGGACTCTTTTCTTCTTCCATTGGAAAGACAGGGCCTGTTTTCTTCCTGTTTCCATTGAAGATAAAGTCCTTGAAGAGTTCCAAATTCATAGAGACCTTCCCTTTATGTAAGCTCTCTGCCTTTGGTCCAGACCCCCTTGTGGTTTTTAAAACCCAACAGTCTAGTTTCTAACCAGTAGTTATTGAGCCCCGACTCAGGGTAACTGCAGGTGATACGCTCCATAGGGTTTTTCAAAGCTGAGAGCGTTCAAAAGTCTAGTTTATAGAGACTAGGAAATGCTTTTAGGCCAGCTGTGATTTCCAGACTAATTTACTACTTTGTTTTGAATTTTTAAAAAAACTCTTTTGATTTTTCAGATCTTGAAAAATGTCCTTACCAAGCTCAGCTATACATTTCAAAAGGATTCCCCCCCCCTTAGAATGGTTCTACATATGTTTTATGAAATTTTGTTAGTAGTGTATTGCATAGTGATGATTTAGGATAATTTTATTTAGCATTTTATGGGAATTTTATCTAAATGTTTATGAAGATTCCGTAAAAATGTTGTAACTTTTGTTTATATTATAAAAAGTGAAGTAGAACCTTAATATGTTCCAATTTCATTTAAACCCTATTTACTTTCAGCCCTCTTCTAGACTCCAGCCTTGTTTACTTGCCATTTGAATTTTGAAATTTGTTAACACAAGTATAATGTAACTTTATTTATTTATCTATTTTTATTTTAAAGTTTTTATTGTGAATTGAGTGATAGTTTACATGGGAGAACATTGGTTTCACACTCATCCTAACATATTTCATTTCATTGCAATGATTACAATCCCCTCCATGCATCATCATTCAACAGTATTTTCTTCTATTCCCTCTGGTTTGTTTTTTTTTGGAAGGTACACAAAAACACCAGGAATATAGAAGCATTTAAACAACCAAAGGGCACATTCTGCAAGCCTGCCTCCTGGCTGCCAGCACACAGCCTTTCTTTTTCCATGAGTCTTGAGTCCTCAGCTATACTATCTCTCCATGTCCTCATCTCTGCCTCCATCTCTGGTGTCTCTCCTTCTCTGGATAGGGTCCCACTTTCACTCATGCTCTTCTCCCTTGATGGTTCTAGGGTCCTCTGTTTCTGGACTGTAAGATTAACTACACTCCCCCCTTTTTGTTATAAAACTTCTACCTTTACAGTTGTGACAGTCACAATTATTCACGATGACAATGATTCACTATCGAATCATAAGAATCTTATCCCCATCCCTTTTCACCGGACACATCTAGACAAGATGAAAACTATACAGTATAATGTAACTTTGAAACTATTTTAAAAAATTCAGAACTTGTCTCTAAAAAATGATTGAAATAATTATCTCTCATATTCTTTTTATACTTAGGTGGCCAAGACATTTTTATGACAGAAGAACAGAAGAAATACTATAATGCAATGAAAAAATTAGGATCCAAAAAACCTCAAAAACCCATTCCAAGGCCTCTGGTGAGAGCAATTGAATAATTCTAATTATATACATCATAGCTATTTAAGTGGGTATAAGGAACTCAGATTTCTACAATCTCCTTTAATGTTTAAATCACAGACATTATCTAAGAACTCAATATACAACAACAACAACAACCCTAAATGTACTGATAATTGGCACATCCTTAAGAAAATAAGACAGTTCAATTCAACACTAAAACCTTGGCAACAACTTTGATTTCCTCTCTAGGGAGCTTCCAGCAAGAACAGAGTTTGTATTCATTGCAGTGGTATGAACCTATTTTGTTTGAACTTTGTTTGTTCTTGTTGTTAGGTGCCATTGAGTGGTTTTCAACTCATAGTGACCCTGTGTACAATAGAACGAAACACTGATCGATCCGGCATCGTCCTCACAGTCATTCTTATGATTGAGTCCATTGCTGCTGCCTGCCACTGTGCCAGTCCATCTTGTTGGAGGTCTTCTTTTCCACAGACCCTCCACTTTACCAAGCATGATGTCATTCTCTAGGTATTGGTCCCTCCTGATAAAATGCCCAATGCATGAGAGGCGAATTTTCTCCACTCGAGCTTTTAAGGACTATTCTGGCTTTACTTCTTCCAACACAGATTTGTTTGTTCTTTTACCACTCCTTGGGTAGTTTCAGTATTCTTCTCCAACACCATAACTTAAAGACATGAATTCTTCTTCTTGTTGTTAAGTGCCGTGGAGTCGGTTCCAACTCATAGCAACCATGTACAGGGTTTCCAAGGCTGTAAATCTTTCCAGGAGCAGAAAGCCTCATCTTTCTCCTGCAGAACAGCTGATAGTTTAGAACTGTTGACTGTGGGATTAGCAGCCTGATTCTTATGTCTTTCTTACTCATTGTCCAACTTTCACATAACCTATGAGGCTATTGAAAATATCATGACTTAGGTCAGGCACACCTTAGTCCTCAAATTGACACCTTTGCTGTTGAACAGTTTAAAGATGGCTTGTGCAGCAGATTTGCTTAGTGTAGTACATCATTTGATTTCTTGACTGCTGCTTCCATGAGTGTTTATAATGGATCCAAGCAAAATGAAGTCTTTGACCACTACAATCTTTTTTCCATTTTTCCAGTGGTGGGGATTTTTGCTTTCATTACATTGAGGTACGACTCACAGTGAAAGCTGTGGTCTTTGAGCTTGATCAGCATGTAAAAATATATTTGTAATATTTTTAACCAAAATTTTCCAGTGTGAGGTTGACATCATACATTCTCATTTGTACTTCACAAGTACTTATGATAAATTTTATGTGTCAGAAATCAACAAACTGTTTTGATTCTAAGTATTTTAGGCTTTGTGAGGTGTATGGCCTCTGACCATCATACTGCAGTCAAAGTCTATGCATTCATGAATGAACAGGGCTGTGTTCCAAATGCATTTTTTTAAATTATGAACACTGAAATTTAGATTTCATATGGTTTTCACATGTCATAAAATAATAGTCCTCTCTTGAATTTTTTCCGACTATAAAATAAGGAGCTCTGGTAGTGTAGTGGTTACGAGTCGGGTTGTGAACTGCAAGGTCAGCAGTTCGAAACTACCAGCTGTTTCGCGGGAGAAAGATGAGGCTTTCTTCTCCCATAAAGATTTACAGCCTCGGAAACCCTGTACAGGGTCGCTATGAGTCGGAATCGACTCTACGGCACACAACAACAACAACATAAAATAATGTAAAAATCATTTGTAGCTAACGGGCTGTACAACAACAGAAAGTGGGCCAGATCTGGCTTGTGAGCATTAGTTGATTGGCCCCTACTTTCCATGAATCCACTTTAACCTAGTGTTCCTGGTGTGGCGCTGTGGGCTAAGACATCAGACTGCAAAGTCATTTGAACTGCAAGGTCAGTGGTTCAAGCTTACCAGCTGCTCCTTGGAAACCCTATACAGGGTCGCTATGGGTGAGAATTGACTCATTGGCACTTTAACAGCAACAGCAACAAGGACAATATCAGGCATCCTGGTGTGGCACTGTAGAATAAGCACTTGACTACTAACTACAAGGTTGGTGGTTTAAACCCACCAGCCACTCCTCAGAAACCCTATACAGGGTTACTATGAGTTGGGCCTGATTCAACAGCTAAGTTTGAGCATCTCCAAAGGCACAGTTGATAGCTCTGACACTGCGTGTGAAAGACTTTCAAGGCAGGGAGGGTCCATGGCAGCTGGAAAGTCTGGAGAGCAACAGGGAAGAGGGTTTTGAGATTTTCATTCTGGATGTGAGACTCTATGTGATTCTCTACATCTATCACCACCATTCATTGCCATTGAGCCAATTCTGACTCCTAGTGATCCACTAGGACAGAGAAGGACTGCCCCCATAGAGCTTCAAAGGCTTAAATCATCACAGAAGCAGACTGCCATATCTTTACTCCAGGGAGTGACTGATGGGTTTGAACCTCTTACCTTTTGGTTAGCAACTAAACACTTAACCACTGTGCCACCAGAATTATCAGTATGATCCAAGGTATGTTTAATTTATTGCTAGATTACCAACACTCAGAATAGAGCCTGACACATAGTATATTCTCAATAATTATTTGTTGAATAAAGGATTATGCTTTGTCGTGCAGAAAATAGTCTATCCTAATAGGATAAACATTGTTTTTGTTGTTGAGGACGTCAAGTCGATTCTGACTCATAGCAAACTTGTACAGGGTTTCCAAGGAGTGGCTGGTATGTTTGAAAAAGCAGTCTTGCCGACCAGTGCTTATGCTACAGCACCGTAACAGGACTTCAGGCTAAAGTTTAACCTGCAATATGCAGATGATACAACCTTGCTTATTGAAAGGAATAAGGACTTAAAATACTTACTGACAGAGATCAAAGTCCACAGCCTTCAGTATGGGTTGCACCTCAGTGTAAAGAAAACAAAAATCCTTACAACAAACCATTAAGAATGTAATGATAAATTGAGAACAGACTGAAGTTATTGGAAGACTTCATTTTGCTTAGATGATCAGCCATCAACACTCACGGAAGCAGCAGTTAAGAAATCAAAGGAGGTATTGCATTAGCAAATCTGCTTCACAAGACCTCTTAAGTGTTGAAGAGCAAAGGTGTCAGTTTGAGGACTAAGATGGGCCTGACCCAAGCTATGGTATTTTCAATGAACTCATATGCCTGTGAGAGTTGGAAAGTGAAAAAGGAAGATCATAGAAGAATTGATGTATTTGAGTTCTGCTGTTGGAGGAGAATATTAAAATTCCCATAGACTGCCAAAAGAACAAACAAATCTGTGTTGGAAGAAGTACAGTCAGAGTGCTCCTTGGAGGCCAGGATGGCCACACTTCGCCTCTCATACACTGGACATACTATCAGGAGGGACTAGTCCCTGGAGAAGGATCTCATCTTTGGTAAGGTGGAGAGTCTGAGAAAAACAGGAAGAACCCCCAGTGAGATGGATTGGCACAATGGCGGCTACACTGGGCTCAGGTATAGCAAAACTTATGAGGTTGGCACAGGACCAGGCAGTGTTTTGTTCTGTTGTGCATAGAGTGGATATGAGTTGGTCTCAACTCAATGGCACTTAACAACAACAACAACAATAACAACAACTAACCTTTTACCCAAGTTTTTTACCTCCCTAAAGGAGCTCTGGTAGCGTAGTGGTTACGAATCAGGCTGCAAACCTTCAGGTCAGAAGTTCGAAACTAACAGCTGTTCCGTGGAAGAAAGATGAGGCTTTCTGCTCCCATAAAGATTTACAGCCTCGGAAACCCTGTACACGGTCGGTATGAGTCAGAACTGACTCCACGGTACATAACAATAACTACAAAGGATTTTTAAATCTATAAAATCTAAATATTATCTTTTGGCCTTTGGGACAAATGACTATCTATTACATGGGGGTGGGTGATTTGGAATTCAGTGTTTTGAAGCTTTAGAAATGATACTTTTCCTTCCAACAATAGAACACGGGGTCTAGAATAATTTCTGACTCTTCCTGAAGCATCCCCCCCCCGGATGGCTTGTTCATTACTTGATTTAAAAACCACACTGAAATGTAAGAGTGCTGAAGCGGCACAGCCAGCCATAGACAGTTTTTGGATCATCTGCCGTTTTAAGTAATTTATACTCTTAGCCTCCTCCATGTACTTAAAGATTAGAGTGGAACTAGAGGTGAGGTCTTTTATTCTTGCCTCCCATTCTGCTTTCCTGGAGAATACTCTTTGAAGATTTTTTTCTCACAGGCAATTTATTGGTTTCTCAGATATATTCCTAGATAGGAAATGCACTTGACTTTCAAGTGTTTTCTGCAAGCTTGTTGATAAAAGTCTTAGGGCTTCTGGATCATGGTTTGAAAGCCACCAGTTTAAACGTAGTGTCCCTCCAATGCTGCCCCTACTCCCTTTCTTCTCACCACTCTTGCTCTGCGTGAATGGTGTCATTTACTCTTTGGCTTCAATTCACATCAATATTGATGCCATCAAACCCCACAGCTGTAGTCCAGCTTCTGCACCTGAACCCCAAACCCAGACTTCTACTTGTCCATGGCCTTGGATCTTCTGCTGGAGCTCAAGAAGCTCAGGACAGATCTTGTCAACTCACTCCCAAACCGCTCATCTTCTATGCTCTTTGCCTACTTGAAAGGGTCCACCAAACAGAAATGAGACCCTCAACTCTTTCACTGCATTCTAAGAGTCCCTGATTTCTCTTGTTCTGCCTCCATATTAGCTCTTAAATCTGTAAGCTTAAATTAGCTCTTAAACCTATAAGATCTAAATTATTAAGTCTTTCTCCATGGTTATCTCCACAAGCCACCATTATATTTTGCCTGAATGACCACGTAGATCTCTGGTAATCCCTAGATTATCACACTGATCTTTAGATCTATTCTAAATAGAACTGTGTATGCATACTTCGATTTGGTGATAAAATAAAATCATCTAAAATATACATATATCCTAAATAAACCAGTGTATAGTTAAGAAGTGCTGTACAATTTTAGTGTCTGAGTTTGTACTTAAGAACAATGCTTCACCCAGTAAAGGATGAAGTAGTGTTTCACAGCAGTCAGATGACAGAAAGTAGTAGAATAATGGTGTCATTGTACAGTCTGTGGTAGTTTGGCAGGCAAACTTGAGTTGGAACCTGTGTCAAAACAGTCAGCACATGTTCACTTTATGTCCAGTTTGATTATCAGGTACAAACCAATATGGAAGTTTGCCATCAGTAATAATATAAAACAATCTGTTTTTATGTTTCCATATTTAGTTCTCATTGGTTCATAGTCTCATTTATCTGACCTTATCTTCAAGGGAACAAGAATTAGAAAATTAGCACTCATGAATTGTCAAATACAAAGCTTGAGTTACGTCTACTGTCTGATTTTTCTGTATTGGCAAACTGAGCACTAATTCCATTATGTCCCACATACTTATGTGAACAGGTAGTCTCTGCATTAATATTACTGAAGTCAAGTTACAGAAATAGATGAAATATGGAGAGCAAGTTTCATCTTTTTCTTCATAGAGTACTGAAAAATTCCATTTTTGAAAAATGGAATTAATGCTATAAGCCTGAATAGCTCGTAACTAGTTACCTCATTAAATTTAAAGAAAAGGATATGAGACAATACTGGGACTCTATAAGAATTTCTTATCTAATAAGAAAGTAACTATGCTGTTTTTCATAAACTGCTTTAACTGTAAGAGAGAACACATTCTATGTATTTATGTGCCTTTTTTATGTATATGATTTTATCCTTACAACTCAAAGTAATTTATGGTTTCTTTTTTTTTTCCCCCCTTCAGAACAAATGCCAAGGTCTCGTGTTCGACCTAGTCACAAACCAAGTCTTTGACGTCCTCATCATAAGTTTCATTATCCTAAACTTGATTAGCATGATGGCTGAATCAGCTGACCAATCTGACGACATGAAAAAGATCCTTGAATACCTCAACCTGGCCTTTGTGGCTATCTTTACAATAGAGTGTCTCATCAAAATCTTTGGTTTGAGACAATACTACTTCATCAATGGCTGGAATTTATTTGATTGTGTGGTCGTGGTTCTTTCTATTGTTAGTAAGTAAAATCAGTAGCTAAGGTACTTTAAACTAAGAGCCAGAAGAAAACTTGTAAATTACATAAGTTGTCCAAATTAGCCAGAAAGCCTTCCATTTGTACTTAACACAGTTTCTGAAATAGCAGCTAGATACATGAATGTCATTTTCTAATGAGAAGTTCCAGGAGACAGCATCCTTTCTAAACTCTTAACAACTTATACAACTGACATAGTTAAATCATTATGTAGATAGTTCATTCCGTGGAGATAGAAAAGAATTTTAAATGACTTCAAAGTTTTTTGTGGGGGTTACTCAATTTGCCCAGGTAACTGAGTCAGTTCTACCTTTTTGGTGCATTTATAAGCCCCGATGAGTATTTTACATAGTTTTAAGGATGTGGCTTTTAGTACCTCATGTTTTCCCTGTGTTCAGAGTCTCCGTGGATGCCAGACCACAGTTGTTGTTTCCTTAGACAGTGCTGTGCTTTCCCCTAACTTACTGTCTAGGGTCTTGTGGCCCATTCTGGATTGGGCTAATTAGGATGTATTTTAAGGATGAGTTAGAACCCATTCTTTGCTCCATATCTTAGGTTAATTTAAACCACTATGCTTGTGTTAACTTCTTTGACATCTTCATCAACCAAACCACCTCTCTAATCAGTGTATTTTCGTAACTATATGTAGGAGTAACTATAAAGTTTATGGAAGGAGAATACAGAAATAAGATTTGTTACAGGATGTATTTTTATAAAACACAGATACACATACACACACTGGTTAACTTTGAGCATTAAAATGTTAATGGCTAAACCATGTTTACTCTAAGCTTTTAAAAGTCTGTTTTTAACTCAACCTTTAATATAAATTTGTAATTGTGTAAAACTGCTCTGTAGTCCTTCTCATAGTTCAAAAGAACAATGGAAACAGACTTAACAAGTGGAAGTTTTGGTGTACTCTACAGAAAGAACGGATGCATTAAAAAGATATGTTAGATTAAAATATTTGGGGTCCTGTTGCTACAGAGGTGTCCTGGTGTAGCACTGTAGGATAAACACTAGACCGAGAACAGGAAAGTCAGCTGTTCAAACCCACCAGCTACTCATTGGAAAGCCTATACAGGGTCACTATGAGTTGAAACCTACTTGAGGGTACTTAACACCAACACCAACAAATTGCCACCAAGGAGTCCTGGGATGATACTATAGGATAAGCACTAGACAGTTAACCTCCAGGTCGATGGTTGAAACCCAATAGCTGCTTCTCAGAAACCCTATAGAGGGTCACTATGAGTCAGAACCGACTCGACAATATACAACAATAACTACAGCAATGAAGATGTTTCAGAGAGTAACAAAATGGTGCAACTAATACTCTGCACTGCTTCAGCTGTAAAAGTTACATAAAGTTTAGCAATCAGTTCTTCCATGTGTTTAGAGTAAAATAGACTTTTAATCTTTACTGGTCAATTCCAATGACAAGTTCTGATGAAACTGTCATCAGCAGTAAAACTTGGAGAATGGTGGTAGAATGGGTCTAGGGTAAGCCCCCAGAGAACTTAAAGAACGCCTCCTTCTACATATAGGGAGAATGATTTCACTATTTATTGAATGCATTCCAGGCAATACCAGGCATTGTACAGCTTACGGAAATATCTGGAATGTCTATCTTTTGAATATCTGCTATGCAGTTATAGTGATATATGTTGTGTATATTTTTCTCCCATGCATGAGAACAGCTGCACATTGAGTCAAATCCTCCTCACCAGTGTGGGCTGCTTTTACTATGCCTTTTTTCAATAGATCTCTCATTCAATCCTTATCCTCTAAACTTCTTGAAGCTCTGTCATAAGCCCTTGGAGAAATTCCAAATAAGAGTGAGTTAAAGTGAATCTCTGTCAGAGTTAACAGTCCAGTTGAGCTATTAAGACAAATTCACCTTATCAGTACCAATTGCAGTTAAGTGGATTCCAACTCATGGTGTTAGAATAATAGACTGTGTTAGAGTAAAACTGGATTCCATAGTGTTTTCAGTGGTGGATTTTTCAGTAGTAGACTTCCAGGCCTATCTACTCCTTATTCATCTTCAAGGGTCTGAAAGAGCTAGAGAAATGAATTGAACACCCAATAATATGGTGCACAGCAAAAAACGAGCTAAGAGAAAGAACAAATTACTATAGGATGGATTAGTCAAGAAATACTTCATGGATGAGATGGGATTTAAAGGATGGGCCTCCAACAGTTAATACCAAATTGTCACTTGATCAATTCCACATCTTTTCAGGATTAACATGAATTAAACTTCTTTGGTACAATTGAGCAGTCAGTGAAGTATACCATTAACTAGCTCTATTTAGTTATTAGGGGAGGGCAGATGCATTTTGGCTGCCCACTCTAGAATGACCCTTAATGACCTTAGAGGGCCCAGAGGACAAAGATAAGGCTAAGTCTACACAAGGCAAAGATGTTCCAGCCACTCTGTAATATTTGGATTAAAATGTGAGTTGTTTTCAATCATTCTATCGCTTGCCAGCAGGGTAGGCAAGAAGAGATCAAGGTGATATTTTAGGCCAGATATTCAGTTGTTTAAAGAAACCTCTGCTTGAGGTGTCATTTTGCTGGTGTTAACAAGTTTATAACATCCTTGAGTTTGGACCTTGGGAATCCTGGGAACAAATAAATTTACAAATAGGAATGATCCATAGTCTAAAGTTGAGTGTCCCAACATCACCATGTCCCCGGCCCTACCCACACTGGCCTCTTTCATCTCATGAGGTGCCCCTGCTTATTGCAGGACTGTGTTAACATTCCTCCATACAAATAAGAATCTATTCATTTTTAAAGCTCTTTGAAGGTAGGTCCTACAATTTTGGGTCACCCGAATTTGAGTAGCAGAAATCCTTCCTTTCCCTCTAATCTAAAAGACCCAAACTGTAGTTTGTTTTCTCTTCTATCTCTTCAGTAAACATAGAAACCTTTATATTTGTTACACTTAAGTGGCTATAAGGAGTCCTGGTGTAGTGCTGAAGGTTCATGTGCTAGACAGTAAGGTCAGTTTGAACCGCGAGGTTGGCAGTCCAAGCTTACCAGAAACCCTATCCAGGTCGCTATCAGTCAGAACCGACTGGATGGCACTTAACAGTAAGTGAATGTAATGGAGCTCTGGTAGCATCGTTGTTACAAGTTTGGGGCTGATAACCACAATGTCAGTAGTTCAAATCTGTCAGCCGCTCCTTGGGAGAAAAATGAGGCTTTCTGTTCCTGTGAAGATTTACAGCCTTAGAAACCCTATACGGGGTTGCTATGAGTTGGAATGGACTCAACAGCACACAAGCAACCACCAAAAGTGCCTGTAAGTACCCAACATAGATCATGTACATCAAGCACAAAACTATCTTTCATAAATAATGAAAGCTCCCTCTGGCCTCTCTCTTTTCCTTAGTCGTCTTTCTTCCATGTTTTAGACATTCTATGAATCTTCCTCAGCTCTTAGATGACCTACCATATTCTGAGAACAGCTATTTTCTATGAAAGGCACACGTACAATGTGAATTATATGGAAGTGAACCTTTTTCAGTGTAACCATAATCTTTCCCACAGTCCAAAGTTTTGTGGCCCTTGGAAATAATTTTCTAAGCTCAGGCATAGATCAATGTTTTTTCCGATATTAGTGAAGAAAATTCTGAATTTTGTGTTGGCCTCTCTAGGATTCTGAGGCAGGAGAGACAGCCTGGGTCTGAATACAGTATGATTACTGGCAACTCACTGAATGTTCTCTTTCTCCTAAGGTATCATCATTTCTGCCTTGGAAAACCAGGATCGTATTCCTTTTCCTCCAACACTCTTCAGGATTTTCCGCTTGGCTCGGATCGGCCGAATTCTGAGACTGGTTCGTGCAGCACGGAGAATTAGGACTCTTCTTTTTGCTCTGATGATGTCCCTTCCTTCTCTATTCAACATCGGTCTCCTGCTCTTTCTGGTTATGTTTATTTATGCCATTTTTGGCATGAACAATTTTTCCAAGGTGTCATATGAGTCTGGAATTGATGAGATATTCAACTTTGAAACTTTTGTCGGTAGCATGCTCTGTCTCTTCCAGATAACCACATCAGCAGGCTGGGATACTCTCCTCAGCCCCATGTTGTGGAAAAGTGATACTTGTAACAAGTCCAAGGAGGACTGCTACTTCTCTGCCATAGCCATTACATACTTTGTCAGCTACATTATCATCTCTTTTCTTATTGTTGTCAACATGTATATTGCTGTGATTTTAGAGAACTTCAATACAGCCACTGAAGAAAGTGAGGACCCTCTGAGTGAAGATGACTTTGAAATGTTTTATGAAGTCTGGGAAAAGTTTGATCCAGAAGCAACCCAGTTTATCAAATATTCTGCCCTTTCTGATTTTGCTGATGCCCTGCCTGAGCCTTTACGTGTGGCAAAGCCAAATAAATTTCAATTTCTAGTAATGGATTTGCCCATGGTGAGTGGAGATCGTCTACACTGCATGGATATTCTCTTTGCTTTCACCACTAGGGTGCTTGGTGACTCTGATGGCCTGGATAGCATGAAAACAGTGATGGAGGAGAAGTTCATGGAAGCCAATCCTTTGAAGAAGTTATATGAACCCATAGTCACCACCACCAAGAGGAAAGAGGAGGAAAAATGTGCTGCTGTTATTCAAAAGGCATTTCGACTGTACAGGTGGAAGATGTCCAAGTATGCCTTGGAAGACGGGTCTCATCCACCACACCAAACACTCTGCAATGGAGACTTATCCAGTTCTGGGGTAGCTGAGGGCAAGGCCCACTATGATTGAGCCCTTCACCTCCACGCCCGCCTCACAGCCCCACAGTCTTGACTCCAGCCTCTAGCTCAGGGGATTCACACCTCAATGTAGGAACCCACAGTGGGCTCATGGAGCTAGCCATTCCATTTTGTCCTGGCTGCAGTTAGCAAGTGATATTTCAGTGTTCATTTCAAACGAATCTTGCAGAGATAAAAGATAAGGCCGTCTGACTCTTTATTACTA